AGGGGAGGGAAAAGATACATATCATGTAATCAAAATAGAAAGGCTTACTGCTGTGTGATCCTGTTCACCACTATTCCATGAGTCTGCTAGGGCCTGCTAAAACAGTCATTACTCTGGCTTATGCACAAGGTAGCACCTGCATGGAAGAAAGTACAGAGTTTGGGACCTTCTTATTCGATTCATTACAACAGGTATGTGAACCTGTGGTAGGGCAAGGATAGAAATAAGGCCATCTCTTAGCTTCAGCTCTTTGGAAGCAGCAGACACCCCACATTGCAGACTACAGGTAGGTGACTCCCCTTGGGCAAACTTTGGGGCAGTTAATTCTAGAGTAGATCAGATGCTGACTTACTCTGGGTAGGAAGCCAAAGATCTGCATTATGCTGATATATTTTTCTCTTTAGTGTGCTTTTGCCAGACTCCCAGACTGCTTTCTGCACAATCAATGTGCTTTCATCATGTCTGACTCCATATTAAATAAAGGTATATGTGTTTCTACTTTCCTGATTCAGAGTACCTGCAAACTTCATGGCCTATGCTATAATCATATATCCACAGAAACACAGAAGAACTCATGTGGATAGGGTCTCAGGAGGTCTCCACTCCAATTTCATACTCAAAGGAGGGTCAGTGTCAAGCTCACGCCAGGTTACTCAGGGTTTTATCCATTGTGGCCTGAAAAACTCTCAAGGATGGAGCCTGTATGCAATCTCTGTGTCCACTGCTTTGATGTCCTTGTAGTGATTTTCTTTTCCTTAAATATCATCAAACCCCTATGTCTGTTTTCTTTCATCCTCCCACCACACACCACTATAAAAAGACTGGTTCCATCTTCTCAGCCGATATCCTGTGGGTATTTGGCAGCTGCTACCAGAGCCATCTCTCCTTCAGGCTAAACACCCCCATATCCCTCAACCTTCTCTCACGGGCCACATGCTTCAGGCTATCAAATACTATATTCCCTATCACTGATCTTGGGCTTTCCAAGATGCATCACTTACTGGACAAAAGCATTTTTTTAAAATTAGAAATCCCTGTTATATTACAGATACTTCTGATCTGCCAGACACAGTCTTCCTTGGACATACCTTCTGTGTGAAATAAAGATATGTCCAAATCCATTACCCAGTGATAACTGGCACTGTCACTGTAACCATAACTCCCACTACCACTGCAACCATAACTCTTAGGAGAATCAGGGCAGAAAGCAATGTGAGTGGAAGGAGGAAACAGCATATTAATCCCAGTGGTGATTCTTACCTCCAGTTTTGCAGGCAGAGCCCAGTTGCCCCTGGGAATACTGCATCACTTCAGTCACTCTGTGTGAGTTTGGTGACTGAATTGAAACTACAATCTTCCATCCAACAGCTCTCTAAGAAATGTCCTGTAGTCTCCATTGATTTTTTGTGAGAGGGAGACATATATATCTAGCACTGCTTTTTGCATTTGCTTTTATACAGAGAGAGCTTTAATTAGTGGCCTTTGTGTTAAACTGTTAGATGTGGCCACCTGTGGTATCTTGAAGTTCTTCACATTTTTAAGTGGTTTTAAATGTTGGGTCTAAGCCACCCAGGGATTTTCCAGCAGGGTGAAAATATTCAGTTGTCTGGAAGCTTTTCCATTACCTTACACCACAGGAGTGGCATAAAGGAGCTACAGAAAAGTCTGAATCTTGTACTAATGTTTCTACTTCAGGGAACATAGTTTTGGGGTTTTAGGAGGTTAGAGTGCAAACGTAGGGGATTTCGATTTGTTTTGCTATTTGTTATTTATTTGTTCCTTCGTGTTCCTTCCAATGACAAGACTTGAGTAAAAATGGTGATGGTTTTGATTTATTTTATTTTGTTTAGAGAAACAGTTGTCTATGGTAGTCATACAATTTGTTTCCTCTCCTGTTTGTACTGTGAGAATCTCATCTTTGTCGGGACCTCCTCCAACCCACGCCATACCATGCCGTGTTATGCCATCCCAGAATTTCTTCTCCCTACAGCTCTTTTCACAGTTTTAACTTCTAATTATAAAGGAATGTCTGTTATGCACATCTCCTCCATAGACTAGGTGAATGACAATGATGGGATTTTATTCCTTAGTTGTTCTGCTGCTTATTGTGTTCTTAATAGTACTATTATTACACTCCTTGTTATGATGCTTCTGCTAGTCTCTGTCATTTACAAAGTACTTTTATCAGTTAAGGTTTCATGTTACTTTATGAATTTAAAATAGTTATATACCTGGAGATCCATTTGTACACAAACAGAATGGGTGAACTGCAGCAGGTGCTTAGAAGTAGGGAAGCTCTGTCCAGTAAAAACACCTGGAAAAAAAGTCTTCAAAGCAGACTGTATCTACGGCTCTGAGATTCTCAGAAGCCCATTAAACTCCAACCCTGAACCCAATGCTATACTTTGCAGATTATTTTTCCCCAAAATATTTTGTGTGCCAATAACCTGGCAACAGTCACAGCTCCAGGTAGCATTGCATGACCCTGTGCTAAGGGGATAAAAGAGAAATGTAGTCCTTCAAAAGGAGGAAACGCTTGGTTGGGCACTGTAAATGTTACAAACAGGCATTGAAGACAGACTTTTCTCCTAAGTGATGAATAGCAAGTGTGATCCCAGGACAGCTTACAGCAGGGAAAAGCAGAATATGGTTCTGGATCCAATAAAACAATAAACTGGGACTAGTCCCCAGACACCAATCCTGCTTTTTTCCTATTTTACAGAAAACTCACAAGCCTACCAAAAGCAACAGAAGTTTTGCCATTGGCATACACAGGGCTTTTGACCTATTGATTTTTTTTCAGAGCAATTTACCATGAGATTTCAGACTCTGAAATGGGAGTTTGGATGAGTAATGTATCTTATACAGTAGACCCCTGCTCTCAGCACTCTCCAAACCAGGCTTCCAGTGCCATTGCTGATGTATGGAATTTCACAACTCACTACATGAACATTCTGTAATATCCTCCCAGAGATTGCTGTTTTAACGAGAAGCCTGATATTTAATTCTTAAAAATATAAATGTGCACAAAAGTAGCATGTCTGCAGAGCAGGTAAAGTGAATTTAATACAAGCAAATAGTATCTGTGTATTTTTGTGATGAATAGATAGCTCTGTTAGTTGCACAGGGAGCTTGGATTAATGCTATGAATCTCAAAACCAAACAATATAGAAGAAGAAATGTGGAAGGCACTGTACATTCAATGGGTGTGCACCTTCTGATAGAAGTACCGGTTACTGTTGATTAGCACATATAATTTGGATTATATTGGATTTACTGTCCTTTGTCCAAAGCCTTTGTGTACACCATGACAAGAAGCTAGAGGAAAAAATGCAATGCAGATCAACCATATTGAGAAATATATTAGCAAAGAACAAAAAGGATAGGAAGTAAAACTACAATAGAGCATAAATATGTATTCCATACATGCATATGTGGAGAAGGAGAGATTATGCTTTGCAGGCATTATGAGATTTTGATTTTCTATCTGTTTCAGAACAGACTCATTTTAAGGAAGCAGGGAAAATGATTGCTTGAATAGCTATTAGCTCTAACAAACTTCTGTGTTTTCTGGAGCAGCTGCTGTCACCATCACTGATATAACAGCTCCTTGAATAAAAATAGGAAAACAAAAGGAGATAACCAAGACAACACAATAGGAATAAAGCATCCAGGTTGTATAAGGAAGGAAGAAAGGAAGGAAAACACTCAACTTTATTCCTTAAAATAAAGGAAATAATACTGAATTACATAGTGTCAGCTGAGCTGAGTAGGATCACATATACAATACAAAAGAGAATTTTCCCACTGTGTGAAAGAGCAGATTCCAGAGATATCTGAACTGGGATGCATTTTCTTTTTGTTCACAGTCTTCCTACATGTGTCCTGTAAGAGAAAAAGGCACACAGGTGTCTTCTGAGTACTCTCAAAGTAACAGTAGATGGCCTGTGGACTGTGCTGCTTTGCTGTCTCTGCTGGTTGGATTATACTGAAAGTTCCTCACAGGTACCTGTTTAAAATGGCCTACTTATGTGCAGACCATATTTTTGCCATAGTGAAAATAGAAAGTGAGGAACATCTTGGAGGGCAACTGTTGCCCAACATTAGTAATAAACAAAGCAAAACTGTACAAAAAGTCAAATCTAAAACAATGCTCAATAGACAAGTAATGAATGCTTTTAAGAACTGTGATTAAACTTAATTTAAGAGAATTTGCAGTTGTTTTTGTGACCAGAAGATCTCTCCATATACCTTTGTCATGATTTTATAATTTACCTGTTTTAAACACCATTATTCCCAAATTGATAATTTGGTTATGGCACATGGTTTAAGACAGGGTAAGGACCCTGCTGTGCTGGGCAGTTCTCAGTTGCTCCAGAAACAATCTCAACTAAAACTCATTCATAAACTTCAGAAAGTCATATATGAACATTCTAACAATTTTTTTTTGTCTAAAATTAAGCACTAAACTACTTAGCATTCCCCATCCTTAACCCTACTACCTTTGTCAGTTTGCTTATAAATCTTGAAACAACTTTATGAACTTTCTTTTCGGAGAGAGAAAAATCTCAAATGTATTTTTTCACTTCCTGTATAGAGCCTTGCAAACCCAAAACTTTTGTCTCACTCATCCAAATTTACTACATAAGCTTTATTTTTATACTGACCCTAACAAACATGGTTAACTGAACCACCTTCTGACCAAAGAAGCACAATGTGCATCACAAGATTTAAAAAGAGAAACTAGGAAACCTATACGTTTTTCCTCTTTTTAATGCATTATCTTTATCCTCAGCCAAATACTGGAACAGGCTGTATTACCACTTACTTACCATTTACTTATTCTCAACCATCTCCATTTCCCAGTATTGAAAGAACAGAAGGTATCACAATTCATGTGCAGCAGGTTCATGACAAATTTGCTAGAATGTCTGAAACTTAAATTGTGTTTGAAGTCCATGTGTATTTACATGGGAGTTTAAGTAATATTGACTCTGCTTAGTACAAGGCAAATTGCATCAGATTCTCACTATCTGGAGCACTAAACCAGTCCACTGTCTGGCAACAGACGCCCTTCACCTCTGAAGACTACAAGGTAACAAGAAGAGATTCTCCCAGAAAAAGTGTAAGAGTTCCGTTCTCTTAGGCTCTCTGCTGTACCTGTATCTGAAAATAGCTATGAAACTGTGTTACTATGTTCAATTATAAACAGATTGTTCAGAAGTATGGAATATGAATTTATTAAACGACAAGATCCAGCAGGAATAGCTAGAAAAGACATTTTTCTTCTTATCAAATATAATTGTATTTTTTGTGAATGTCATCTTTTGGATGTTTGATCTTCTTTGCAAAGGTGATGCAATGTAAATGTGGTATCATTGACCTAAATTGATTTTGCCTTTGCAATACCTACCTCGGAGATAATGAAAGAAAGAATTAATACACTTCTGTGCAGGATGTAGGTAAGGAATTGTCCTGTATTTTTCCACAAGCCTTACATTCTTTTATCCTGTGCTGTTTTACAGCCTGTGTGGATAACTGAGACATCCCTTGTATCAGGTCTTAGAAGTACAAGTAAGATTCTTGATGAAAAAGAAGCGATGATGTTACCACTTTTCATTTTCCTTTCTGTCTCAGCATAGTCCCCATGACTCTCTTACTCCTGTATGAGGGAATATGAGAAGTGGGAAGATATCCATGTTTTTTTGTCCTAATTATGCTGTCATTCTCCACTGACCACCCAGCTGACAATAGTGGTCAGCCTGGATCATGTTAGCTGATATTATGAGACAGGATGTTGGATACTGTTGGACAGTGTTTTGATAAATATTTCCTTACCATCTACTCTTACAGTGGCCATCCTTACCATACAGTTAAACCAATACAGTTTTCAACTTTCTGTTGCACTGGACAGTCACCAAGGCAAGAGTTTTCAAACACAACAGACCCACCACAGTATCCTCTATTAAAAGAAAATCAAAAATCATTACCTGCTCTTCCAAACATTTGAGAAATTAATATGAAAATATAGGGAATATACTAATAGATCTGCATCTTATGTAGAAACCAGAATAAGTTACCTTCTGAGTTTATTCCTATTTATCAAAACATTAATAATTTAGACCACTTTCTGGAATAAGTCTCTTCTCAGGACAATGTCACCCATCCCCAATTAGTTATTGAGATTTTTACTACTTGGGTTACTAAAAAGCTCTTTATTTAGATGCAAAACCATAATCTACTAAGATTTGAAATGCTTCTAACATATGGTGGGGTAAAGGAGAAAGCACAAAATTCCTTAAATTACATGGTCTGATATATGCAAACCTTAGACAAGTAGGAAGAGAATAAATGCTGCTGTCAGTGGCATGGTGGGTTGGGCAGCATTTGCTTAGGGTAACCAGCATCATTATGAGTGGATACAAAATTATTACAGATCTCTGTAAAGAGAAATGACATTTTTAAACGCTCATTTGCAAAGTGGTAAATATACAGAAGTGGATAATTAAATTTAAAAGGCATTTTCTAACCACAACATTAGCAAGATTAAGAGGTTACACATTAACCTAACAGCAAATCCCTCCACTATGTCTTTTTACAAACAAGAGCGTCTGCATTTTATTTATCCAGTCCTGTTCTGTGCTTCAGGCATTCAATATGATTGCATTGCATGTCACAGACTGAAACAGAAAGAAAAGAAAACAAAACCCCACAAAAAACCACCCCAACACTTTAGAAACTTTGTGAAAGACATTCAGGACTTCATGTGTGGAGGACACTGATGTTATGGATAACATGTTTGAAGTCTTGAAAAGTATTAAATTTAGAACTGAACCTCATTTACACTAAGAAACAAGAGAAAATGTCACCTTAGTGATTTACCTACAGCCTGAAAGGGCACCACCAACCCTCAAAGATTTTTCTTGTTTACTCTGACTGGATCTGCAGCAGGGAGCAGTATATGCCTTAGCATGTGCTACTGCTTTAACTTCTAATATGAAAACCTCTGAAAATCACTATCTTGGACATCATTCCAGCTCAACTGAAGGAGCCTGCTTAGAGATGGAAAGTCACTTGCCTGCTCTTTGACAAGCCCCCTCTAAGATGAAAGCATCTGGATTGGGATCACACAGCTGTTTTCTTCCTCACTGCCAATTTCTTTTTGTGTTTTTTGTAGAGTAAGAAGGGAAAAATAGCCCACTGAGAAGCAGTTATATCAAAGCATCCTAAGCCTGTTATATCATGAACAGGAAAAAAAAAAAAAGGACAAGCAGACAATCTTTTTCTTTTTTTTTTTCCTTTTTTTTGTTCCAAACATTTCCTTTTAGATGTCTCTTTGAAGTCACAGGCTTATAGTGTGAGTGACTGAGAGCAAGGAGCTGTGAAATGCGCCTTTGAGCCACAGATTTCTCAAAGAGTATCACAAGGAGTATATGACTGGGATACACGACATCTGCAAATCAGCGTGGTGTTACTGAGGCTTTGTTCAGCCTCAGACTCTGAGAGCTGCAGAGAACCATACACTTTAGCAGGGCAAAATCACCTCCCATCCTGGGTCTACCTTCCCACTTGGGTTTTCTCACTTCCACTATATGCAGTGATTGTGTTGGTGTAACTAGCTAATGAAGAAATTATCGAACACACACATAAACTCTGTATACAATACAGTTGTATATTATGTGTACATAAATTAGGTAATGTTACCATCTTCTATTCCAGCTATTGCTCTGTTACTACTGGGTACTTTTGTGTTGATAAAAGTATGCTGCCACTTCTCTATTGTTGTAACGTCATCCCTTCAAACTACTCACAAAAATCACTCTTCATACTCTCTGAAACAATTCCTGCTCAGATGGATCTGATTCACTTCATAATCAAACACAGAGATTAGCAGAATACTTCAGTCTTGATTAGTTGTGTCTCCTGATTTTCCAGTTTTGAGTCTTCTGCATTTCTCATCCAAAGCAATATTCATTACCTCTCTTACATAAGGGCTATTGTATAGAAGATGCTGTGCCCCACTGATAATTCTCAAACATGGAGCAAAAATTGTCTCTCATCATTTCGGAACAGTCAGTGACGATGTATCAATTTCTTACAAACTTCAGAGAAAAGGTGTTGAAGGTTAGGACTATTTCTGTAAGTTGTCTGGTAGAGTCAGTTATCAGCCTCACCCAATATTCATTTCTAGTGGTAGGGCAGCACCATAGTGTACCATTACAGCATCACTTCCTGCCAGACTCCTCAGGAGATTTATTTGAGACTGCAGGAATCCTTTTTGTCTTCCTGCAGTTTAAAGTGCTCAGAGAAATGGGAGCTGAGCATTGCCAGCAAAGGGAATAACTGTTAGGCAACAAGATGAGAAAAACAATACGGTGTGACCTAAGGAAAAAGGATAACCAGAAGACTGCTCTGAACAGCAGAGATCTGATGAACAAGATGAGAGAGACCAGAGAGGCTGAAGGATAACAGGTGTTACACTAGGCAGTAAGGTAAAATGAAAAGGGAAATCAATAAGTGGGAAGAGTGACATGATTCTGTCCCAAATCTGTAGGTTACAGATCAGGTCCGAAAGCAAAGCTGCTGCAAATATCTGAGGAAAAAGTGTCACTGTTAGGGAGAGGAGATGCTAAGGCAGCACTTAGTGGTACAGCCAAGAGCAGGGGAAAGAGATATCAGGACAACTCGTATCCCTGCAACATGACTGCATGGGGAGCTGAGGCTGTTTCAAAGCACTGAACTGTGCCTCAGCCAGTTCAGCTGAGACCCCTCACTCTAGGGGTCCCTCAAGTTCAACCACAGTTTCCTTTTGCTGTTTACTTTATGCAATTTTTTTCCATTATGTTTTTGAACATTGTACTCATCCCCAGGGATGACGAGCACAAATATGGAAACCCCATGATAAATATCAGCTTCACCTAGAGATAAAAATCTGAATCCCACTTGTTTATCAAAATCTCATACCTCTTGGAGGCAGACCCTTTGTGGAATGCATTGTTAATGGTCCCAGACCCAAGGTCATGGTTTTGGTGTAGAACTCAAGAAGAAAAGAATGATAGGAAAAGATGGAAATAAGTTCATGCCCACAGCATATATAATAGCACAGAAAGCAACAAAACCAATATACTGGGGGGAAAATCATCTCTATACAAATATTAAATACTGGAATTCTTGATTACAAAAAGAAAAGGATACATTTTTTAAAAAAATCATTTCTATTCTCTTCTTTAAAGGGGTTGTGGAAGCCAAGTCTCTGTGAATGGCAATAGATTTAAGAAATTAAATGTTTGAATGACTATCAGAGGTGAAATTTCATAACTTCAAGTCACGTCAATGTTTCCACAATACTGTTCAGTGAGCAAGGCATAAAGAAATGCTGGCCAATCTCTCTGTGGGCTGTAATGGGGAAATACAGACATGTACTGAAATTGGGGTCAGTGAGGAATTTCTACTGAAAACAGGCATTAAGGGGTGACAATTTGAAGATCCAAGTGAATACTCTTGCAGAACTCTTTCTCTTGCAGCCACTCTTGCTTTCTTCTCATTAACTTCTTTTCTTTTTCATTCACATCTCACTCTTGTCCCCATTTCCCCCCTCTTATTTTCACCCTATTTTTTCTTTTCTCTTGCCCCACACATCCTTATATGTCTGTCTTTAGGTATGTATTTGTGCTGGTCAAACAGGTTTGTGCTGTGTGGAGGCACGTTGTAATGCAGCAATCACTGCTGAGTGATTCTGTTGTTGTTGTATGGCACAGTGGGAGGGATTTAATCTCAGACATGACACTTCAGGGACTCAGAAGATTGATGGAGGAGATTGTTCCCTAGGTACGTTAGTAGCCGGTATTCCTATCTAGATTTAATTTTACTTTCCATATGTTTGCTTTACCATGAAGTCCCAAATTAAGGAGTTGCTATGTAAAGATGGATTTAGATTCAGAGTAGTAGACCATGTAGGTGACACTGCAGAATAACGGTGTAAAGTGGAACCTCAGAAAACAAAATATATTAGTTAGTAATGTTTTTCTCCCTAAACATTATTGCTGTGGAAAGGTCATCTCAGATGTAGAAGCAGAAACAGCAAACTTGCAGACAATAACAGACAAGCCTGCCAAAGGTAGGGAG